AATAGTAGCAAAAAAGGCACTAGCACCCCCTTTTTCGCATTCTGCCTTTTATGTTTCTCCACTGCACCAATAATGTACAGTTACGTCCCTCCCCGTTCGCGGTCTTCCCATTCGCGGTTTTGACTTTCTGCGGATGGCGAGCCAGGAGGGACGAAATGGCGTGTGCACAGCGGCACACTGCCATTATAGTCAGTGGGGCTTGAATATCCACGTTTTTTCTATTTCATGGGGGGATGCACCACGAACGGAGAGGGACAACTGTACTGTAGCACCTCCTAATTCGCGGGAGATCTGTTCGCCCACCCTGCGCGAAAATGGCGGCTTGCAAATATTCGAGCCCCATTGAAAATAATGGCAACAGGACCATTTTATCCCTACCTGCTTGTCCCTCCCGCGAAGAGTGAAACCACGGACTCGGAAGTCCGTGAATGGAAAGGGACAACTGTTGTTAGATACCACTTTTCAATGCCGCAGCTCCATCCTACTGGGATTGGTAGTTTTTGCAAGGTCTTGTGCTTCACTCGGCCCAAGAGAGCTGGTGCCTTGCCGAACTACAGATCCCAGGCTTCTGTAGGATGGAGCTTGGGCAGTTAAAGCGGCATCAAATTGCATGGTTTCAATGTAGAAACCATGCAGTTTGATGCCGCTTTAACTCCCCCGGCTTCATCCTACAGAAGCTTGGGATTTGTAGTTTGGTGTGTTGCCTTTTCTCTTTGCCATTGTGGCACCAGCCCCACTTGCATTGAGGGTTGAACAACCGAAGAGTTCCAGTTTAAAATAAAACACACACACACACGTACAAAACTTTTCAAAATAAAGCTTTGTAGGGGTCCCAGCTTTGAAACCTTTTGGGGGGGGGCAAAGTATTGTAGTTCCCTAGGATCGCTTCCTGCCTTCTTCCTCCTCTCTCTTTCCTCTCAGCCGCCACTGTGTTTTGTTTACCTCAGGCTTCCTCATTTGCTTGGCCACAGCTGCTGGAGAAGGAAGACGGAGGCTGGAGCCCAGCGTGTCTGCCTTGTTCACTTCCTAGGTAGCTGGATTCCCTGCCCAATAAATTAGGGAGGGGTTTTTTAAAGCAACATCCAGCCTTCCTTTCTTGTTCTCCCCAAATTGTTTTATTGTTAACTGTCCTTGAGTGGACCCCGACTCGTGGTGACCCTGTGGATGGGACATCTCCAAGACCCCCTGTCCTCCACCGCCCCTCTACTTAGGTCTTGCAAATTCAGGCCCATGACCTCCTTAATAGAGTCTATCTGGCATGTGGTCTTCCTTTCTTTCTACTTCCTTCTACCTTTCCTAGCATTATTGTTTTTTTTTCTACTGAGCCATGCCTTCTCATGATGTGGCCAATGTACGACAGCCTCAGTTTGATCATTTTGGCTTCCAGAGAGATTGGTGGTTTGATCTGGTCAAGGACACACTTGTATGTCTTTTTGGCTGTCCATGGTACCCTCAGTATGTAGAGAGATCTTGTAGCACCTTTGAGACTAACAATAAAGAAGTTGGCAGCATGAGCTTTTGTAGACTTCAGTCTGGTTCCTCAGATGCATGGTATTCTCAGTGCTTTTCTCCAGCACCACATCTCAAATTAGTTGATTTTCTTTCTGTCTGCTTTCTTCACTGTTTAGACTGGATAATTCTAAAGTGCTTAGTTGTATATCTTTTCTCTTTAGGATCTTGTCTAATTCTTTCATCACTGCCCTTCCCGTTCCGTTATTGCTGTTGTTGTGTGCCTTCACATCATTTATGACTTATGGCAGGGGTAGGCAACCTTTCCCCTTTAAGGGCTGAGGGACTTCAGCTCCCAGAATCCCAGGAGCTATTGGCCAACATGGGACTATTGGCCAACATGGCTGAGGCTTCTGGGAGCTGAAGTCCCTCGGCCCTTAAAGGGGAAAGGTTGCCTACCCCTGACTTATGGAGACCCTAAGCGAGGTCTTCTTGGCAAGACTTGTTCAGAGGAGGCTTGCCATTGCTTTCCCCTGAGGCTGAAAGCATGTGACTTGCCCAAGTCACCCAGTGGTTTTCATGGCCAAGCCAGGATTCGAACCCTGATCTCCAGAGTCATAGTCCAACGCTCAAACCGTTACTCTAGGCTGGCTCTCATTCCCATTTGTCCCATTTCTTGACTGCAGTCTCTGTCCTGATCATTAGTGAGAGGCGTTTTAAAGCAACACCCAGTCATCCTTCTCTTTCAGTCATCCTTCTCTTTCATTCATTGAACCAGTCTCCCCAAATCCACCACAATAAACCCCAGAAATCTCCAACTTCATCCAACACTCTCTTTCCCTTTCTGTTTGTTGAAAGGCAGGGAGGGAATTGGTTTAATGTTTTTGCTGGTAATGGTTTTCATACTATTATTGTTGTGTGCCTTTAGGTGTTTTTGATTTATGACGACCCTAAGGCAGATATAGGTATAAGGGAACACTAAGCTAATACACTCATACAACTAACTAAACAGTATCTCCGTGTGTGTTGTGTGCTTTCGAGTCAATTCAACTTATGGCGACTCTCATGGGATTTTCTTGGTGAGATTTGTTCAGAGGGCTTTTGCCATTGCCATCTTTTAAGGCTGAGAGCGTTTGACTTGCCCAAGGTCACCCAGTGGTTTTCATGGCTGGGCAGGGATTCGAACCCTGGTCTCCAGAGTAGTAGCCCAACACTTAAACCACGCTGGCTCTCTATACACCCCATCTTATGAAGGGTGAAGCTGTGTGCCATGTGGGGTACTCTTTGTCAGGCTGTCAGAATTGGCTTTGTTGTTGTTGTTGTGTGCCTCCAAGTCATTTTGGATTTATGGTAACCCCAAGGGGTGCTGTGGGGCTGAGAGTGTGTGACTTGCCCAAGGTCACCCAGTGCATTTCCGTGGCTGAGCGGGAAATTAAACCCTGATCTCCAGAGTCACAGTCCAACGCTCCAACCACTATACCACACTGGATCTCACAATTGGCTATAGGACCTGATAAGTTGTGCTCTCAGTTTGGAAACCCAGGTTTGTGGCTGTGTGCGTTGGCACAATGGTTCTCTAAGGGCCTTTGCAGACTGCCAGAAATAGTGCAAATTGAATCCACTTTAAGGGTTAGGGTTAGTGCTAGGGAATACTGGGAATTGTTTTTTTTTTCTGAGACATTGAGCCTTCTCTGTCAGAGAGATCTGGTGCCACAATAAAATACAATTCCCATGATTCCCTAACCCTAACCCTTAAAGTGGACTCAATTTGCACTATTTCTAGCAGTCTGCAAAGGCCCTAAATTAGTCTCTGGAGAAAATAACATTATCGTTCACCACTTCTTTTCCAGAGGTAGGCAACCTTTCCCCTTTAAGGGCCAAGGGACTTCAGCTCCCAGAATCCCAGGAGCTATTGGCCAACATGGGACTATTGGCCAACATGGCTGAGGCTTCTGGGAGCTGAAGTCCCTCAGCCCTTAAAGGGGAAAGGTTGCCTACCCCTGTGCAAAACATTAGAGCAGGGGTAGGCAACCTTTCCCTTTTAAGGGCCAAGGGACTTCAGCTCCCAGAATCCTAGGAGCTATTGGCCAACATGGGGCTATTGGCCAACATGGCTGAGGCTTCTGGGAGCTGAAGTCCCTCGGCCCTTAAAGGGGAAAGGTTGCCTACCCCTGCATTAGAGTATTCAATCATTGATAGTTCATATTGTCATGTTTTTAAATATTAGTGTTTACAGTTCTAAATTCAAGCTTTTAAGAAGTTGCGTGCCTTTGAGTTGTTTCAAATCCTAAGACAAGGGGGTTTGTGGGGCTGAGAGTGTAATTTGCCCAAGGTCACCCAGTGGGTTTCATGGCTGAGTAGGGATTCGAACCCTGGTCTCCAGATTCATAGTCCAACACTCAAACCACTGCATCACACTGTCTCTTTTAAGAAGGAGAGTTTTTTTTAAAAAAACACACACAAACATACACAGAGCATAATGATATTCTTGAGAAATGCAGCTTGTGCTTGGACCATATTTGAGATATCTTCATGAAAGATCTCAGTGCCAAGTCTCTAGAGCAGTGATTCCCAAACTTTAGTCCTCCAGGTGTTTTGGACTTC